TTTCCCCTAGGGGACAATAAAGTAAATTTTATTCTATTCTATCTGAATAATGTTTAAATGATTCATTTCAAATGTTTAGAATCCATCACTAAATTAAGGGCAAACCAATTCTCATTATGCAATAACACTGAGATGGCATTGAAGTTGCATTGAACTGCGTATTCTTGATAAGTTCCACTTTTGTGCATTTGTTGCACAACTTAAGACACAACTTATAAGAAACATGGGCGTGTGCGGGATCTTAGTCATTCATTCTCAGTGGCAGGGAGGCACAGTTGACAGTGTGCAGCAGTTTGCTTTGAAAATTATAAAATATGGTTTACTAAACTTGCATTTAAATTTTTTATTAAACTTCTTATAGTATAATTATTTTAGAAATTATACATGACTGATATTTTCGGAATAAACCTTTAAAAGAAATTCCCACATACCCGTTGCAGTAATCCAAAATACCACCATTTGAAAAACACTGCCCTAACCCACTAGCTGGCCCCTCTTAACCTGGTGAGTATTTGATTCATACACTGTAAGATGCATGATAATGCTGCTAAAGAGGCCTAAAAGTCAAAGGAAAGACTGCTGACATGTAACACAGCACACTGATGCTGTAGGAATGTAATCAGTAAAAACTACCTTCACACACACAAAATGAGACTGGGGACATTTTGCTTTTTCTTGTACAGTTATTGTCTGTTCATGGACTCACATTAAGCTGAGAACCTTCACAGTCACAACAAGCAGCTGCCACACATCCTAGACTCAGCAGTGATCACAGTAAGCTTCACAATGCAGTAATCTGTAGTGGACAGTCAACCCATCTGCACATACAGATTCTCCTCATTAGCTGTTTTGTGTGTAGTCAAGGCTCAATATGTTTTAGATTTTTTTATTTATTGCCTTTATTCTTATTAAAGATTAGTGGTCCCACTTTAAAGAACATTTGTAAAAGAATAGAACTGTGTTAAGACTCAGACCAACTGCAATGGCAGCACATGTAGAAGCAGCAGTCAGTAGCTCCCTAAAACATCACTACATTTTTTTTTCCACCTTTATTACTGAAGCCTTATTCATTTTATTAATGTTTTTTTAAAGTAGTCTTAAGGTAACTATATCTATATTTCATTCTACAACTGTTCATTGTAAATGACAATAAAATAACCATGAATGCTTGAATATTTAAAGACCTGGTTCTTGATAATAATTAACTGTACATTATTAATAGTCACATTGTTTTTTATCAGTATAATGAATGGTTAATAATCAACATTAAATATTATAATATGAAATTAATGATTGCTTTTTGTAACTACAAACAAAATACCTTTTTCACAGCAAAATTTATCTCAACATGAAATAGTAGGTAACAGGCGCTACCAATGAAACTAGTTAAGATTTCATTCAGGTCACACAGAGTCAGGGTTTGCTCACTAACAAGGCTCTGCTACACTCAATGGAACAAAACCTTAATTAGCATCATTGGTAACACCTGTATTAACCCTATTTCATGTTAAAATGGCTGCTGTGAAAATGGTCTATTTGTAGTTAAAAAAAAACAGCAGCCAATCATTTATATAGTTTCACAATAATGTACAGTTAATTATTGCCAAGAAGCAGGTCTTTAAATATGAGTCTTAACACATCTTATTGTTGCTTATTTTCAGTTGAGGCTAATAGTATATTGGCCATATACTGCAGGCAGCACATCGGGTGCCAGAAGAGTTAGACAACAGGGAAGTTCATTCACTGTCATTTTATTTTATTCAGACGTTAATCTAAGCTTCATTAGAACTCAGATTAACTCAAATTGAATGTTTTAAATTTCCAACTACAGTTCTCCCAAGGTTGGGAAGATAAAGGTACAGTATGTTAACTCTTAGAGAAATGGATCTGGTTCTTTCCCTGAAGTTTTTGAATGTCTCAAAGCAACATAAGGCAAAAGAAAAATACTTTTTTAGACATTAAGACACGTTAGTAACCATGTAACTGTATAAACTTGTTTATTCTTAAAGTTGCAGTAGGTAACTTTAATAAAAATATCTGGTTCCTCTGGCTCCTCCTAGAGCTCCTAATGGCATTTGTAAGTATCCACCGGGCCTGAATGAAAACAACCAATCAGAGCTGAGAGAGATGGTTGATTGTTGTGTCTCATTATCTTTGTCTTATCTTAGTCAAATATCAATGCTGGAAATGAGACTCAACAATCAACTATCTTCAAGCTACCAACCCATAGTGTCTTTCTCTCTCTCTTAGATCCGATTGGTTGTTTTTTGTTCAGGCCCGGTGGATTCTTGCAAATACCATTAGGAGCTCTAGGAGGAGCCAGAGGAACCTGATTATCTCACAGTTTTCACAGATATAGTGAAAGTTTCAGTAAATATGACAAAGTTATTTTTATAAAAATGACCTACTGCAGCTTTAAGTATTTTTGGGACATGTTAAGAATCAACCTAAAGAGAACAAGTTGTTGCATGGTTGTAATGACTCGATCACAACACTGTTTAAACCCCATGCAGATGGTTTAGAACTCACCAAGCAGTAAACAAATGTACCCAGTGAGAGCATTTCCTTTTTTTGGTTATGTAGTTGACATGTAAAATGTGTGTGTCCTGGCAAAGTAAAGAGACACAGTTAAGAATGTGTGCTGTCTTGTTACAAAGGTCCTTTGGCTAACTGTATATGCTAATCAGTTGCAGATACTAACAGTTCATATAGACTGAATTTTACCCAACGAGACTGTAAAGTTAGTGGCTGCTTCTTCCTCCATCACTGTTTTTGAAACATTTTTCACAGCAGCTATTTTGACATGAAGTAGTAGGGTAAACACAGGTTTTACCAATGATACTAATTAAGGTTTCCATTCAGGTCAAACAGTCAGGGTTCTGCTACACTAAATGGAACCCTAATTAGTGCCACTGGTAACCCCTGTGTTTACCCTACTATTTCATGTCTACTGTGAAAAAGGTCCATAAAAGATCCCTAAAAATTATATAATCAAAATCTTGTGAAAAAGGTGATTTTTAGATTTTTATGGGTAGTGTTCATTAGCACCAGAAGCTATCAGCGTGGACAAAATAGTCCCACATTTAACCAACTTAAACAGGCACAGCATCTGCAGGGACTGACTGACTGCAATCTGTGTAGCCGTTATGGAAGGACACGTGAGGGTGGTGCAAAGTGAACAGAAGAACCAGATACTTATTTGTCAGTTTAGTTCCCATTTTCCCCCCCAGACAGACCCCAGCAACATCATGTCAGACACATACAAAGGGTAGCACGGTCCAGTCGATCTGCCAATTTCATTCTTGGACGTACATGAGGCTTACAGAGGTACATACAAGTAGTTACACACACTGATAATGTTGTCGAAGTGCAGTGAGGAGAATGTGCTTCCATACCGTCCCGCTACAGCATTAACAAACTTAGAGAATGCAAATTGATTACCTTTTTTTTTTTTTGCAGCTTAACTGTATCGCATCCATCTGCACAGGCACACAGACATGTACTCACACACGCAGACACAAGCACTCGCTCTCGTCGCTTCAGCCCCATCGCGCCCCCCGCCCCCTCCCTAATGTTCACAAAGCGCGTCTAAAATCAAATTATAGATCTCCCCTAGACAAACCCCACACATTCCATTGGAATTCACGTAGGTTTTATCAATCTTCCACACCTTTTTTCCTCCGATAATCCAAGTCTGACCTTCCTGCACACAACCTCAACTTTGTGTACTTTTAAGCGTGTAACCCCCCCCACACCCCACCCCAACCCACCCAGTCTCCCCGTTCCCTTACCAT